TCTATAGGAGATAGACTGAAGATGTCCTTATTGTTGAGTGGTCGTGTTCTTTGCTCTGACTGTGCCACCGTACATAACTTTGGGTCAGAGAACACTCGCCACGACGTATTCTGTTGTCCATTCATCACAAATCATATCCCACGTCAGCCGACTGGAAACTTGGTGCAAATGCAAAAATGGCTACGGACTTGTCGTGCGAACCACAATGCATGCAACAATTGGTGTCCAGGGCTGGACACGAAAGAATGTCGACCAACACGAATACTTGAACTTAGCAAGAACGGTGCTAGGCTCCGGTGCGACCCACAAACTATAGACAATTTCGAATACCTGGCGCTCAGTCACATGTGGGGCAAAGATCCATCGACACAACTTCTGTTGACAAGTTCGACAATGCAGCAATTTCAAGAGGCCGTACCTATTCACAAGCTATCAACGATCTTCAAAGAGGCTATCCGAATAACACGTGGTCTAGGGTTTTCATACCTTTGGTTGGATTCTCTTTGCATCATGCAGGACTCTACAGCTGACTGGACGCATGAAGCGAACATGATGTCTGCAGTCTACAACAACGCTGTCTGTACGATTGCGTTCTTATTCCCACCCGGTGTTGACTTCTGTCAGGCTAGAGACAATCCACGAGCATCGACACCTTGTATCGTCCGCAGCTCTGGCGCAGATTGGCGGTGGACAGGCATCTTCGTCAGTCCCAAGGACGGAAAGGTATCACAGTTTTCATCCAGCAACTGGCCTTTATCGTCAAGAGCATGGGTTCTACAGGAACATTTACTGAGTCCTCGTACGATTCTCTATGGACACCGTACCATCATGTGGGAATGCGGGCGGAGCTTTTGGGACGAGCTGGCCTTCACTGGCGGGCAAGGCGTAGCATACACTACGGCTTTGAAATCCATTTTGCGGATGAACCGCTACAAGCCCGGGCACACGTCGAGTTTCATAGCTCCGGATGTCATTCACTCAACCTTTCCTGTCTGGGCAAGACTAGTAAGAGAGTACAGAAGAAGAGACCTCTCTTATCCAAGCGATCGAATCATGGCCATCGTAGGCATAGCACGGGCTTTCCAGTCTAACAATGGATACACGTATCTCGCGGGAATGTGGAAGGAACATCTACCACGATCTCTACTGTGGTATGTCGAGACTGCGGGGGTGTGGAAGATGGCTGAGCCTTTCTCGATCCGGGAGCTATCATCAAAACCCGTACCCACATGGTCATGGTTGACCGGTCCCATCTATGTGCACTGCGATATTGTCATTCCTGGAGGATTCAGGACCACCTGGGATCCAAATGCATTCATGGCAAAGTTCCTGCACTTCAGATGGTCAAGTGAGCCCGTCGATCACGCCCCTCCAACAGGTTACCATGACTTCGATGGCCTGCAAATTACACTCGAATTGGCAACACATATGACCACTATTCTGCTTCAAGAGTCACATAGCGAACACGCCTGTCATCGACTTCGCTGTGACAGTCTAGAAAAAGAGTTTGCTTGTTGTCTTGGTATTGGCAGAGAACGTCTGGCAGCCTCTTACCACTGCGACGATCTCGAAACATTATATCAACCCCCGGCAGACGTACGCATAGCTCTCGTTGCCGAAGAGGTGGATCTCAACTACCGTCACGATTTACAAGGACTGGCATTGGCACCCGGGGTTGAAAGCGGCACATGGAGGCGCATAGGCTACTGGAAAGCGTGGGTTGATCTGCGCGATGACACATGGGAAGCGGAGTCCATCTTTTTACGTCTCGAAGGAGTGAAGATTGAGACTCTTACTTTGGTTTAAACAACTTTTACACTCTGTATCTAAGGTGTTGAGGCATCAAAGTAGCGATATGCAAACAAATAATTACAAGGAGGTTACCTATCTTCCATGCGTAGAATCCGCTATGAAATTCGGTTTGGATTCAAGCGGACGTAGTGTTGGTAGTAAATGGAATGAAGCATCTCTACTTAGGTAGCTGGCTTATCGGAGGAACTACAAAATCTGGGAAGCTGGTTTGTTCAAAATTGCTCCACACATGTTCAGGGTGGAACTCTAATCCGTACTCTGGCGTATGCATCATGCTGCATGCGACCATCTTTTCACAACATAGTGCATTGGTACTTCCAGAGTGCGTCTTTGGTCATGGGTACAGCCAAGAGAAGCGAGCTCATGCGTGCATGTGGCACAGTTGCATGGGTGCTCACGCGGGGTTGCCTGATGCGATGCACCACCTCGCGATCCATCTTTACACCACAAAACAGCCCTCGACCTCCCTCGTCGCGCCTAAATACAACCCATTCTGGCGCAATGTCAACGATTTCAGATTCCCATATTGACGACACAGAGTTCGTGGGCGGCTACGCGGAAGATCGGACGCAAACGGACGCAAAAGATTCGGTCATACTGCACCAACTTTGCGATCGCTGTAAAAGCTTTGTCGATGGCTGGAATTCCTTAAGATGGGTCAAGGATGGTATCGACGACATACACGACGTCCGAGATGAATATCCCAATCCGGCCCACTTTTCCACCGTTGCGCAATTGTTGCAGTCAAGGGATGCTTGCCACTTGTGTGCAATGGTGCTCTCTATACTAGATTACCATAAATTAGATCACAACGGACCTGTAGAATTCATGATATGCAAAGATAGGACAAGAAAACTGCCTGGCCACTTGCATCTGATCCTGGGTCTAGGTGGTACCAAATATGTTCAGTATCGATGGGCGTCAATGTACCTGAAATGTTTCGATGGTAAGCAGGTGTTTCCAAACTTTTAGCGAAGCCATTTGACAATTTAGGATCGAGTAACCATGAGTTCGACGCGCCAGAACAAAAGCAGAGCGTACCGAGCCAGCCCATTGCCAATTTGGATCAGATCAATACGTGGCTCAATGCTTGTATCCGAACGCACGGGAGCTGTTCTAGCTGCGCCTCGAGCTTGTCAGCGTCATCCCAGCGGCCGACCCGACTACTAGAACTCACATCCGACGGTGTGAGATTACGATGCGATACTAGTACCATTAAAGACCTACAATACCTTACACTCAGCCATGTCTGGGGAGATGCGCCCCATCGTCTTCGCTTGACACTGTCAAGACTTGAAGAATTCCAAGTCGCAATACCATGGTCGGAATTACCGGCCATATTCGTCGAAGCCTTGAGAATCGTTCGACACACTGGCTTCCGCTACCTGTGGGTGGATGTACTGTGTATTATCCAAGACTCACCATCGGATTGGGAAGTTGAATCCGCCTCAATGACTTCAGTTTATAGCAATGCGATCTGCAGCATAGCATTCTTGTTCCCGCCCGGAAGAGATCTCATCAAAACACGGGAAGACCCGAGGACTATGAGCCCCTGCGTCATTCGCAAAGCGACTAATACCAGCGAAGGGATCTATATCATCGCTTCTGCGGGTCGGTATGTGTCAGGTCCTGCAACTCCCACAGAGCCCGAGATATTCACATCTAGATTCAATTACCACGAATGGCCTATATCTCAGCGAGCATGGACGTTTCAGGAGCATCTTTTATGCCCACGCACAATACTTTTTGGACACCAAACGCTCATGTGGGAGTGCGTGGAGGAGTTCTGTGATGAGCTGGCGGGCTCATGGCTTCCAAGAACTGAAACCCGGCTTTACAACCGTAGTGATGGCTACGAAAGCCGGAAGATTACGCAGAAATCGCATCTGCTAGCAAGTCATGTTGCTCACAGACGTAATACTTCAAACTCGTTTGCAGACTATGAACACGTCCTAGAGTATTTTCGAAACTGGAAAGACCTGGTTTGGGAATACAGAGCGAGAGATCTAACCGTGCCCAGCGATAGGCTCGTCGCCTTTGCCGGGGTCGCCCGAGCTTTCCAGGCTGGAGCACGAATTACGTATCTTGCAGGTATCTGGGCAGAATCCTTTCCTGAAGGCTTACTGTGGTATATAAATGCCGAGGTTTATTGGGATAAAGATGGGGAGAGATTGCCGATATCGAAATCAATACGTGAGCATGGATCAAGAAAAGTGCCGTCTTGGTCATGGCTCTCGAGCCATCTTTACGTGGATCACCCGCTCAAGTACTTCGATTGGTACGATTACTGGAATCCGAACCGTCAGGGCGACGAATTCATAGTCAGTGACTTACTATTCTTGGCGCAGCTCTCTTACTTCCAATGGTCGGGCTGGCCTGTCAATACGATGCCTCCAACAGCATATCACGACTTCTCTGGACTGCAGATCACCCTACAATTACCGACGTTCGAGGAAACCCGAATCGAAAGCGACGATTACGACGCTAAGTGTCTTTGCTTGAGGGAGAAGCTTGCATCTTTCTACGTCAGGCCCCATGGGTGTGCAAAACACACCTGGACTACCTTACAATGTGACGAAATCGAATATCACACCCAGCCTCCAGAGAGAGTTCTGCTGGCTCTTCTAGTGGAGACCCGGTTTCCTTACTATCCGAAAAGCATTTTAGGAGGCCTAGCGCTGATGCCCGATGAAGAAGAAGGCACGTGGAAACGTATCGGATACTGGAGTGCTCAGATAGATCTGCCGGAAGACGAGGCGCTCGACGATGAGCAGACTGATCGTAGATACGTTCATACGTCAAGAGAGTGGCAACGAGGCGATCCATCGGTGTTTTTGCGCCTCGAAGGAGTAAAGATGGAAAGCCTTACTCTGGTCTGAATATCTCGTAGCGTCTTGATAGAGATCTGTGTATCTAGCAGCCGTCGCATCATCGGCAATGTATTGGACTATTAAAACATATAACTTAAAGTGAGGTGGCGTTTCCGCAGCCTATATCAACACAAAAACATGCAAAACAGGTAATGTAACGTTGGTGTAGGCTCTGGACCTGTTTAGACTTGATGTGTAGAAGGTGGAAAGATTTATCAAGACTCGGAAATATATACAACGAGAACGAGCAAGATGCTCAGCAGCCTCACATAAAGGCAAACCCGCTCGACCAGCGTCTATTCATGTGCCATGACCCGCTCAGTAGTCTTGAGCAAACTCCCTAGCATCCTTCCTCCCCTTCTTCCAAGCAGTACTCTCACTAGCCCCCTTAACCTTCTTCGCCAACTTCGCATCGAAGTTCGTAACAACACCTTTCGCAACCGGCTTCCCAAGATTATCGCTCATAGGCCTAACAACATCGCACCTAAGCGCCTGCGCAGGGCTCATACGCTCCATCTTGGTGTTGTTGGTCTGAATGAACAGCCTCTCACGCGACTTGGGACCAGTGTACGGCTTCCACTCGACAGCACGTTCGGCGCGGTCGGTGTTGGGGTCGAGATTGCGGATGAAACTCGTCCAGTAGCTGCGGACTTGGTGGATAATGGGCGCGTTGGTGGTGAAGTAGCTGGCTGGCTCGCTGTTGTCGGTGCGGTTTACGCCCCAGAAAGCGTAGGCGTTGACGGTGTGCCATGCGCCGTAGCCAGCGGCCTCGTCGGCGGGGTCCTGCACGGCGTACTTGTAGTTCCATGTTGGTACGTCGTCGGTCGCAATCGCGTTTTGGATGTTGCGCGTGGGGCAGTGGGTGCCAATGTCGCCGATGGCATCAGCGGCATGGCGCCAGTAGAGGCCTTTGCCGGGGAATGTAGGCTTCTTAGGCTTCATGTACAGATCATCGAGGATGGAGATGGAAGAGTTGCTGAGACTTGGGTCCTGGTTGGCTACCCATTTGACGGCATCAGCTGTAGTGTTGAGATCCTCTGGTGCGTTGTACTTGGTGCCTTCTTGGGCGCAGGTTCCCATGATGGTCGGCACCTTGGCGTACTTGCCCTGTTCGAAGAGGTTGACGAGTGAGTCGGTGTAGAGGTCGCCGTCGATGTTGGGGTTGAACCAGCAGTTAGAAGTTCGGATAGCCGACTCGTTCAATGCACGCAGGCAAGACAGACCGTTCGTCGCATTGGCACAACCTTTGTCTTCGAGAAGACACTGGTATTGTTCCTCGCCCAGTTCCGGGGTGCGCATCGTGACCCAGCCGCCCGACTCCATGATGCCACCAGCGAACAGCTCCTTGCCGGTGTTGGCCGCTAGCATGAGTGCAACAGAAGACCCGCCAGCACTGACTCCATCAAGGACAACATGGTCAGGGTCGCCGCCGAAATGTTCGATGTGCTCCTTGACCCACTCAAGGAGCTTGATCTGGTCGCGAAGTCCAGCATTGACGTCGCCACCTCCAGCCTTGACCGCTTCACTGCTGAGGAAACCGTAGAGACCCACGCGGTAGCTGAACTGAACGAAGACGACCTGACCATCGGAGACGATCTCCGTAGGGTCCCAGTTCGCGCTGGACTGCGATGAGAAGCCTCCTCCCTGGAAGAAGACCACCACTGGCAACTTCGAGTTGACTTTGGCTTCAGAAGGCGCATAGACGCTCAAGTAAAGACAGTCTTCTGCGACGTAGAAGCGATCGGTGGCTCCAGATATGGTCCAATCATCAGGGCGGTTAGGTGGGCATGTTGCGCCGTGCCTAGTCGCGTTGATGAGTCCGGAGACGATAGGGTCCTGCGGGGCTGCAAAGCGTCGTTCGCCGGTAGGAGGCGCCGCATACTGTATACCTTTCCAGGCAGAGACGCCAAGCTGAGAGTCAACGACGGCTCCCTGGTACTTCGCGTAGCCAACATCGACGAGAGTGTTGACGGCCTGCGCAAGTGAAGAAAAGCCCGCTCCAGCGGCGAGCAACTGGTGAAAATGCCTCATCTTCGAGATGAAATATGAATGGAAAATGAACGTGGACGAGCAATGCTCTGGTAAAGAATGGATACGTGCGTAAATGCACGAAAGTTAGACTGGGTGGGCGAAGAAACGACTGACTGTTGCGTCAACTACAACCTCCCTATGATGAGCATATAAATCCATTCCTCCGGATCTTCATGGATGCGCTCGAGACGTATCAAGCCCGTTATCGCCGGGATCTCATATATGTGTTGCGTTCGGACCGCACGCAGAATGGACGTGGAAATTGTGCTTTCATGTTGCTGTGCTGTTCAGAGTCGGGCCGTTGAGTGATGCGGCGATTGAGTTGTTTCACGGCGGCATGGCAGGGTGTCGATGCATGACCTGACCTAGCCTCGAGCAGAAAGAGGCCATTATTCCAGGAGTTTCTGGGGAGCCGATCGTGTTCGTCCGCAAATCACGGGCTCTGGTCCGCTGAAGGATGATTTGAAATGGATTGTTGATGAGTAAACGCGAAGGAGCGAACGCGCGGGGACGCTAACAATAGCGCACTAGTTGTCGTTATGTAAGCATAAGAAGAGATTGAGAGGATCGCCAAGCCGTACCTAGAGTTGAGTCTACGGAACATCTACATCGTGATTCCGTCCACAATGTAGCGCTGACAGCATGATACATGCGATCGTAGAGCCCAACATCGAGTCTACACGACTTTCACCGCCACGGCCCTGTCGGCGTGTCATAGACCCCAGCCTGCCCGAATTTCTGGAACAGCTCGGCATCGCGGAACCGCCACCATCCACCATGTGGCTTTGTATATCGACACCAAAATGGGAAACCCTCAGCAAGACAATGCTCTCGATACACCTGTTGTGTATAACCGACGTAACAACCGTAACTGTGACCAAGCGGTCTCCAGTCCTTGTTCCGTGCATCAGCTCGACCTTCACGAGTTGTCGCAGGCGTGTCGAGCCAAGTCTTCGACTTTTTCGTGAACGCAGAACGTCGGTTCCGGTCGCGACAAGGAGCGGGTCTTATTCTGACATACGGGATCATGTCGTTGTAGAAATGTCTGTCCACACAGGCAAACAACCTGCGGATACTGGCGTCGTAATCTCGCGGTAGGAATGGGCGTTCGATTTTGATCCATTCGGCTAGACTTCTCACCTCGTCAAACTCCCACGTCGTCCACATCGAGAACAAGCTTCTGATCTTCCGTTTGAAGCCTTTCCCTTTTCCATACAGTTTCCGGATTACAACGTAGAGTTGCAACCGGAAAAATGCACGAAGTACACGATGATGCTCGACATCAGACAGGGTATCGGTACCATAGTCAGACTGATCGGATGAGGCCCACCGAGCTACTGCATTGCCTAGTACTAGGTGAACGAACTGATCTGTAAGGATATCCGCGTCGATCAAGAGTGCTTGGTACTCGGCGAGCATGCCGACAGCATGACCGGGGCTGTCCACTGATATACGTAGGGTTTCATCGTGTAGATTGCTGTTCAAGAACTCAGCTAGCTGCTCGCTTGAGCGCGGGCGGTTTGTATGCGTCGAAAGTAAGGCCGTAGTTGTTAGGATATGCTGAAGCTGGCTAGCGAGATGGCGGTGCTGTTTGATCGCTTTGAACTGCGCAGCAAAGTTGCAGCGGACCAAATCGCCCATCTCCGGATGCTCGAGGAGTGTGTAGTAGGCTTCGAAGAACTCGTCCTTGATGAGGAGCTCTAGTATGCAGCAGCGTAGCTCTGTCGGCAAATCGAGCATCCGCCGCAAGCCGTAGTCGGTCGTATCGTCAGGATCAGGCGGCGCACTTCGATCTGCATTTTCGTGCTGCAGCATGGTATCAGGTTTGTTGCGTGACTCCATCGTAGTGGACGAGATGCGCAGGTGTTGATGGGGATTCGCGAGAGATGGTGATGCGAATCTTTGCAGAGAGATTGACTTCGGAATGAGTCGAAAGTGCGCGGTACCCCGTGCCGGTAGCGAGCAGCGAACCACTAACAGGCACGTCCACCAACCAAGGGATCTGAGTTCCAAGGTTCTCAGCCTCCCTTCCAAGGTTCTGACGGGTGATTGTCTCAGTGTCCGCGCCCCATTCCGAACGAGGCGTGCCAGCCCAAGTTCGTCATCCGGATCGGGGATGTATGATGGCGGTGGTGAATTGATGGGGTCATCGGCATCGGGGTGATTGGCATCGATGCCGAAGATGGCTGGGTTTGACGGGGAGAAATTGGAGGTGTTTGTGGATGGCTTTAGAGATTGGAGCCTCGTTTATGCTTGCGTGGATTCTGTTCCCCTTGGTCTTTGGCTACAAGTTTGTAGACTACGAGGTGAGTTGAATGCGGAATATGGAAAGATATATCCTACATTTTGGCGAAGACATGCAAGTAGCTATTAGCTATTTTATGTAGCAAAGCTACCCGAGGAGTATACCAAGGGTAGTAGACAGAAACGCGACGCTGGCGGAGCCGCTCTTTTGGTATTACAACTCTACTATGCACTGCGTATTCGGCCACTTAACTTTTCCTTCTGATAACTACAGGGAGTAAAGTCATACCCTTTGCACTCGTCCTAAGCCCACGTATTCCTCAACCGTGCTTTCCATCTACCTGTCATGACGCTACACCAAAGTAATCAACACACCCTTCCACTTCCCCGACAGCACACTAACCTTCGCCCACCTCCTCGCCACCTCCCCAATATTACCCCCATCAACACCAACACCCACAATATTAATCCTCAACTTCCACACACCCACCCTCCTCCACGTCCCCTCTTTACTTCCTGGGGCTAACATCAACCCCGCCAACCGCCGCTGCACCGTATTCTTCCCCGCAGTCCTGACAACCTGACACTCCGCCATCAGCGCATACACCGCGTTGCGAGGTGGCGACGCCCGCCCGGCTGGGTCATCAGGGTAATACTCCAGAATCGGATCCCAACTAAACCCGCGGTGAGAAGAAAGCGGCGAATGTTCTTGCAACCGCTTCATCTGCGCCGCTAGATCAGCGGGCCAATCCGCCTTTATCGGCAAAACCAACGTTGCGAGCGTGACTTGCAAGCCTGAGAAGTCAAAGGGGCTAGATTCCGGTACGCGATCTTGCGTGTGTCCAGCGAACTTGAAGCCCTTGGTCTCGGCGAAGAACATGTCGGTCCAGCGGACGAGATGAGGTTCGGAATCGCTTTTAGACCGGACGACTAGTTCGTCGTCGCTGAAGAGGTGGTGGAGTTGGTAGTATTTCCATATCGGTACGGAGAACCAAGACCAACTTGGGAGTGGTGGTGTGGTTTGCACTACTTCTTCCTCAATCTCCGTCGTCCACATCGATGGTTCCATCTCCGCGCCATTTGGTATCCCATTCTCGAGGCGGACAAGCCATCTTGCTTTTCTGTCGACGTACCATAGCATGGTTATTGGTAGTATTTCTTTCCACAGGCCGGCTAGGTAGGTGAGTTGGCCTAGGTTGGAGAACGCACGCGCTACGCCTGCGAAAGCTACGATGCGGTCTTTGGAGAAAGAGAGTCTGCGGCTGCGGTATTCATTGACTAGGTTTTGGTAGTCTAGTGCGAAAGAGAGAATAGCTGGGGAGGAGAGGCTGTTTGTCTTTGCGAGTGTGTTGATCTCTTTGATGGTGTTGGGGAAATACCGAGATTTTCCTCTGTCTTTGCCGTGCAAAGATACTTGCACCGTCGTCGTGGGATCCGTAACCGGTGCTTCCGCAATCGGCCCAAGCAATTCATCCCAAAACCCCTCCGAGCATTGCCACATGAGATTCTTATGCCCAAGCAGCAACGTCCGTGGCGCAAGAAGATACTCCTGGAACGTCCATGCGCGATTGAAGAGCGGCCAGTTGCGTTGAGCGAGCCAGTCTCTACTCGCCTCCTCCGTGTCGAGGGCGAGACGGAGTGAGGACTTCGTGTGCTCAATATATATCCCAGGTGTATGCGAAGATGACGCCCGGAGGATACATGGATTCGAAGATCGTGGGTCTTCGCGACTGGATGGAGCAGAAGGCGAGTGAGGTGGGAAGAGGAAAGCGAGGTTGGCTGTTGCGTTGCCGTAGACGATAGCCATGCGGCGTGCTTCGTAGGTCCAGTCTTCATCCGAGTCTTGGATTATGGCTAGGCTGTCTATCCACAGGTAGCGGTAGCCTAGGGCGAGCGTGACGCGGATTGCTTCCTTGTATACGTCTGATGCCTCCAATTGGGCTCGAGGGATCTCTTTTTGAAAGGCGTTGAGATTGGATTGACGGAGTTGGATTCGTTGGGTGTAATTCGTTCCCCACATGTAGCTTAAGACGAGGTAGTCAAAATGCTCGTTTTGCATATTACAACGGAGGCGGATGGTGGTGGGTGTGATTTGGAGGACGCGCGTGGGTCGTTGGTGGGGGTTGGAGACGGTGCTGCTGTGGAATTTGCGACATGCTGTATGTTCCGAAAGACAGGTGTTAAGCCACTGCTTAGCTTTCTGAATGTTATCGCGAGCGAGGAGGGGTGCTTCTCTGGCTGTGATGTGGCTTTTGAACGCTCCTGTGGTGGTGTCTACCCGCCTTCGTCAGTAAGCGACCAGGGAAAGCGATTTGCTAGAACTCACTATCAAAAGTCTGAAACTTGAACATAGCAAAGCCTCTACCATCCTCCGCACTCCTCATTTCACCTTTAACAAACCTCATGCGAAGGAGCAACTCTGTCCCACTCCTCTCAGTTTGGGGACACGCATAAATACCCTCATCGCCAGCCGGACGTATACCGCGTGCGGCTCCATTCTGCAACTCCGCAAACATCATCTTGCAAAAGTGGCAAGATGGCGCTGACTGAGAGAGTTGAGTGACGGTGCACAAGCGCGAGAAGGGCCACGATGGGACGGGTTGACCACGAGGTCTCTGCAGCCAATTCAGAGCGCTGCACTCATTTGAGAACTTGCGGCATCGCTCGCAGAGGTTGTGAAGTGGGACTGATGCTTTGCTAGTAGGGTGCGGTGTAGATGCAGGTTTATATGAGGGTGTAGATGGGGGTGCTTTCCCGCTTGTGGAATGATTGCGAAACGATGACATGAATGAAGGCATGATTGAACGCTTAGGGGACAAGAATGAGATGCAACATTGCAAGCCCTTTCTTGCGCTGCTGCATACTTATACGCAGTCCTTAGATGCTCAGCGGGTAACGATCACCTCGGGAGCATACATAAGAGAAGTTGAGCGCTTACTAGACGCCAACACGTCGAATCGCCCATGTGGCACAGCAACGCATCCACTTTTGCGCAAGTAGGTCGCGCATGTATTCCCGAGCTGTAGAGGATCGCTGCATCGTTGTGAGCGTTTAGTCAAGGACAAAAGTCAAAGTGAAGAGATGGGGAAGGAGCGACGAACCGATTACAAGCGAGAAACTTGCCGAACACTGGATATGGAAAGAACGAGGACAGGAAAGCACGAAGTGAACATCAAGAAAGCAGGACTGGAGAGAGACATAACAAGTCGAGAGCACATCTCGAGGAACTGATATCAAATTGGGTATCCGCCAACACACCCTCAGCAGCAGGCGCAACACTATTCGTATCGTAACAAGTACAAAGCCCTGCGGCAACATCCATCTAACCTAGAAACGCCAAACATGACCATGTAATGTAGTCAAGTAGTAAAGACGCCTTTGCAAATATGCAAATATCCCAATGCCAAAGTATAAACAAAACTGCGTCGCTAAATGAGGAAAGACAGTAAGGAAGTAGTAGTCGTTAATGCGGAGGCGACAAGGTGCGCGAGGCCCACCTCCAGGATAAAAACTTGACTCGCTCACGTTGTGTTGAGGGAAGGAGCTAGTCGTAGAGGTTGCCCTGTCATCATTTGGTAGTGAGATGAGGAGGGGTAGGGCGACGTGCAGCGGTGTCGTGGTGAAACTGCCAGGGTCGGATGATTGGTGATACGATGACATAATAGCGCCGATGAACCACCGACGGGAAACGGCGGTGGGGAGAGTAGCGCAAACGTGAGATGAGTATCACGGGTGTGAGATGGCGAGAGAGTTTCGTGAGGGCGGATAGGAACATGCTGCTCAGAGGATGCGATGTCTAATGATTGTTAGTCATTTGATGCATGTTGGTTGTGCATAGAGGAAAGGACTCACTGTCTGAAGACGGTCTCGAGGGCGACAGCGCTGAGCTCCGAATCATCGGGCAGACACTCAACGAGCGGGATTAGGTCTGCGAACTTCTCGCCACCCTTGTATGCTAGGACAGCGGGAACACCGGTGTCCTCGATTTCGGCGTCGTCGTTATACATCTTGACGAAGCGGACGGTGTCGTTGCGCTTTGCTACGTCGTGCATGACCTTCTCGAACATTTGTGATACCTCGGCGAATGGCTATGGTGCTGTTAGTAGGAGTTGGACAATGGATGGAGTGATGTGTATACATACATCACTGTTGTAGATGAAGACGACAACGACAGTACTCGACGCCGTCTTGTCAACAGCATCGAGGTACCCCACACCATCCACCAACGGCATGCTTCCATATATCCTCCGGCTAGGGCTGTTGGTCCTCGACCGTATCCTCTCACCAACATTTTGCAGTTCCTTCAACCTCGCCTCACGCCATTGGCGCATGAAGCCCTCGTCGACCTCGTCATCACTGCTCGATGTCTTCTCGTCGTGATAGGCATTGACGTTGTACTGTGCGGGTGCGGCGTTCTTCTTCCATGTGAAGCGTCGTGCTTGCTTCTTGGCCTGCTCAAACGCCTGGGCGTCCGCAATGACACCCTTGGGCCCCGTGTTGGCCTCTGAGCGCAGGTTGGGCATGTAGTAATTCGCCCTCATGTCGGCTGGGATGTCGAGCTCGTCGTCGGTATCGATCTTCTCGAGGTAGTCGTCGGCGGCACCAGGGGATTCCGGGTCGGAGAGGTCGGAGTCGTTGTGTCGGTCTTCGGGGTGGCGGTCTTCGCGGTCCTTGTCTCGGATCAGTTCGTTGAATTCGTCTTGAGCGGCTGTAGTCATGACGGAAGAAAAAGAAGAGCGGGACCCGAATGACGGGCGCCGGACTGATATATGTGTGGAGAAGGGGGACGGTCAGCGTCAGCTGTTTGCAGAGTCCGTGTACAGGTCCCGGTGTCTGGTGACGCGTTGGTCTGTGGTGGGCAGAAGGAAAGGGAGTCGTTGCAAGGTTGGGGTCGGTCGTCTGGGATGGTGCTCCGCTGGATGACAGGCCTTGGCGCGCGTGCTTGCAGGGCTATTTTCGAGTACGCGCTGGGGTTTCAGCGATGCAATTGGACGCGCACGGGAGAATTCCCTCGAGGATTCCAACGTGCGTACGTGGATAACGTGGTCGAGGCGGTACGGTGTGTAGGGGTGTGCTTGGTAGGTGCTGTTTTAGGGCTGATGCTGACCGGCCGATTTCACGATGCATTAGACGCCCGCACGGGGCCGCATCGCACTCCATTGGCGAAGCGCAAAGGCATGTCGGCCTTATGAAACAGGATGCTCGAGTGCGAAACACGCTCACCCGCCTGTACACCGCCCAATCCAGGACCCGCGGGTGGCGCGCAATGGCTTGGGGCGCCGCGTGAAAGCCTGACGACTGCTGAAACACCATGCCGAACTATCTTGCTACACGCCTCGTCGACACGTCTGTCGCAGCATCAACCTGCCCTATCCTCGCTGCTGTTTGGAGGCTACACGTCACAATGACCTTACGCCTCTGCTAACCCTCTCATGCGCTCTGGATGTTTCAATCTCCTCGAGGCACCAACTGTCATGCAGCACCAGAGTTCCATGGCACCGCCGACCAAAAGGGGCCGAGGGATCTCTCTTTCGGTCTTGTTTGATATTCTCGTCCCGGCCACATCCCGGATGCGAGTCCCCCGGTGCACATGCAATGGAATCCTTCTGTGCTCGCTTCTAGAAGCATTAATGCCATCCATCGCGTTCCTATTCTCCGATCGACTCCTGCATCGGCTGAGGCGCTTCCTTTTGTCGATTCCAGGGTCCAGTTGCCATGCAGCCTAAGATTGCGGGCATTAGCTGAGGCACGTTAATGCCAAAGACGATGGTTCGATACGTTGATTTCTCTTCGAAAATAGAAAGACGTTGCATAACCGCCCGGGTGAAAGTAAAATACGACGTGGCTCCTGCGTCTTCTGCTCGGTCGCTCTGCTGTCATCCATGAAGATCACAACCATAATCTATCAGCCCTGCCCGACGAACGCCTAAAGTACGGTCACGCTACCATCACCGCAATAAGCTCTGATCGCTGATACTCCGGCTTGTCACTGCTTGTCCCGGAGTGACGTCCGGATGGGCAATTGGGGTCCCCTGGGCAACCTAGTCATATGCATAACGGTGTGCGCGCCACTAGATTCGCGAGCGGGTATCATCCCAGGTGGTGCAATCACCTTGGTGCTGTTAATGCCTCGCACCATGGCCTAGGCCAGAATGCGAAAAGTAACTTCTACCGCTGAGGCTACAGTAACCGCTGAGAGCGCCGAACAACAGTCGCGACAAGGTCTAGAAGGCACGTTGACGTTGATTACTTCTTTCACGAGCTGACCTGGACTGAGCGCGCTCAAACCTTGGAATGCTCGAGACGTTCCAAGGTTCATGGAAAAGGCAATATCAGTCATCTTAACATCATGCAAAAGCGTTCGATAAACTTAAAAGAGGTATATAGAAACTCGCTGACTACCGACTCATCCTTCACAACCCAATCAAATCGTACACATTGAAAGCCCATGCGCCAGAAAGCCATGATCCGTCCATTCAGTCCCCCTCATCCATGGATTCTCCAAAACCATTTGCACGTAGTAGAATCCGAAACATACAGTAATGAAGCTCCCCGTCTTGCACAGCCCCATCTCTTCCCACGCAAGTGCAAGTACAATCGGTCGCTTTTAATGATCAGGCAGAACGCAAGGAGAAGACTATGTCGAAGGTTGATGTAGATAGGTGCTACTCATGTACGTAGAACAGCCGGCCCGGACATGAAGACGAGTGTGAGTAGTATGCTCGCACCGTCGAGAAAGGAATAGAACAGTGGTATGAAAAGAAAAAGTAGTTTGAGCACAAAAAGATTCCGGGCGCCGGGACATCAGTTGGCACCGTAGCCACATCGACGATTCCAACAGGTGCGAGTATTATATTCTTAGAGTATGGCAGCGCTCAGTCTCCTGGTTGATAAGATGCAGCAGGGGTATGGTATGCCAGGAGTTGCGGAGATCGCTGTCGTAGGTTGTAGTTTGCCAATATTACGGTAAGGCGCACACGTTCGGATTGGCGTCGTTACATGGCGTCGTGGAAGTTCGGGAGGCTGACGGCACTTATGCCCAAATGCGCAGCTATGCCAAGTCAGTTGTGTGATGCAGACGGGAGCACGAGAGAACCTACCATTGAGTCCCATGAACCAGTGCATAGACTGAGCGCGTCGTTGCTAACGCCGAGACAGCTGACGCGGTTGTCGTGTCCTTGCAATGTGCCTACGCGTTCGCCGCGGAGTACGTCCCAAACCTGGATATTATTAGACTGTGGAACCTGTGGGGGCTGCGCTGACTGCTTACCTTG